TTTTTCAATTGCTCCACAAATGTTTATGCAGATGAATTGTATTTTGAGTTGTGTTTTTGTCTGGCTGTGGCTACGGCTATGGCTCAATATGCCAGCGAGACAGACAGGGAGACAGATAGAGAGAGAGATAGAGCGAGTGTGTGTGGGAGAGCATGTGGCATGTATAAGTAGTACAGCAACGAGGTCCTTTTTTGCCGTTTGATGAATGCGTCGCAAATGTTTGCTAAGCTTTTCATAATGTGACTCTAAGTTGTGGCCAAAACAATACGAATTGAAATTCTCGTCTGCTCATCGATCCAGCTGTGAAGGCAAACTTTTAGAAGTGAGTGTTGAGAGCTCGAAAGTGTGTAAAATGAGTGAGATCTTAATGTTTAAGGATTGATTAGCAGATGGGATGATTAATGGAAATTATTAATATACACATATATGATTAATTTGTGATATATATATATATATATATATATATATATTTACATATATATATATATGATTAATACTAGCTGAAAGTATATAGATATACATATATGATTGATACTAACATTTCTAATCTGCTATGATTTGAGACCCAACTTAAAGCACCTTTGGGCATTTAAGTCGCCTTGGCTGATAAAAACATCAGCTTTGTGTTAGGTTATGGATGTATTCTAATCGAACATGTCCAACTGTGGTGCTTTCATTATAATCTTTATAATTTCTTCTATTAAAAAAGTTAAAAAAAAAAAAAATAATAATAATAATACAAATAAAAATATCACAAAATTTTAGTTATTTTAGTTATCAGAAACTTTCTTTCTCTTTAGTATTAATGCTCAAAAACAGTCTGCCCTATGACTTCTAGTATTTTTTCTTTTTCTTAGACATTTCAGAATCTTGTTGAGCTTTTAGAACTTTCGAATCCAATTACTAAATTACTAAATTATAAAAAATTAAATCTGCTTTAAATAGTTTAACTTTACAGCTTTAAAGTTCATTATCTAGCATTATCTCTCTCTTTCCCGCTCCCCCACCCCAATCATCTTTCCCTTACTACATCTTACAGTAAATTAATTTGTTAGTTAAACGAAAACAACCCGCGGCACGAAAAATGTTTGTAGCCAAAAAATACTGACAGACGCTTTAACCGCAACTCATAAACATTTCCACAATTTGTTTGTTTTTGGCAATTGTTGTTGCTGTTGTTGTTGTAGTTGTTGTTGTTGCTGACTCGAATATAGATTTTATTTCAACTTTTTCGGTTTGTGCAATTGTAATTTAGCCCCTTTAATCGTTCGATTGGAGCGGGACGGAAGACTCTTGCTGCCTTGCTCACAAATGAAGTTTTTGCTGTTGCTGTGCCACAATGTTGCTGCTGCAATGGGTGGCATCTAAATTTAACAACAGCAACAACAACAACAACAACAACAAGTAGCAAAAATTGCTCGCAAAACAAATGTTTTTGACGCATTTTTCGCTTACAGTGAGGGGCGAATGCGAGTAGGCGGTTGGGGGAGGCGTGGCTGGCGCCAAGCATTTGCAGTTTTTATGACGCTGCTGCGCCGCGACGGCGTCCACATCGACATCAGCGTCTGATGCGTCCATCACCGCAAAGGTGTCAGAAAATTGCATGCTGCAAAAATTTGCAGCCATTTGACAGACGAAACGGAATGGAAATCAAACAGACAGACAGACATATGGAAGGGTACGGAATGACACTGGAATGGGTGTGGGGGTGGAGGGGAGATGAGGGCGTGTGATAAAATCGTGTGTCAATTCGATTTTTGACGTTAACCGCCGCCTAAACAACACCAACAACAACAACAGGAGCAACAGCAACAACTTTTTTTTATTACCTAGAAATGGAATTGGAATTGGAATTGGAATTGGGTGGTGTTGCTGCCACGGTTTCTTGCAATGGCAACGGACGCTCTACATGACATCTGTGGCAGTGAATTGGCAGCTGCAGCTGCAGCAGCAGCAGCAACCTGCAACAGCCGAAGACTCGTTGAGGCGACGATGTGGGCGAGCAGAAGTAAATGTTAACCGGTTCGCTTGGTCATCAGCGCGGGATGACAACCCTGAGCGACAACCCTGCCCGATGCGAAGGCAGCTGGCGGTAAGTGTGAAGACAAAGTGACAAGCAATTCACTTAGATACACTGCGCAAAAATGACTAAAATAAATTAAAAATTCATTTTAAAGAATATGAAAAAATAAATAAATAAAGGTAAATTAAATAAACAGCTAGGACCAGCGCAATGTGTGTTTCATTTCCTTGTTGTTCCAAGTATGCTGTTACATTGTTTAACTCATCGATTTATATTAAAAGTGAAAAGAGTAAACTATTTTCTATTTTCCTTTTAGATGCATTATTATTTCTTTTTTTTATTGCTACAATTTTATTTGTTTCGTTTACTAATCACCAAAAGTGCTTAAATACTCTTATTTTTTTATTCATATTTATTTTAACGAAACTGTGAAATACAACAAAAGTTGCATTTATTATGCTAATCAATACCTAACTAATTCTCATTAAAAACTCAGTCAAGCTTCATATATATTTTAATTTTTGACCAATCCACATATACCCCATGGTTTGATTTGCTCTCGCTGGAATTAAAAAAATATATATATATTTGTTGCATTGTGCGAATGAAATCAAGTTACAATGTTTGCTACGCTTCGGGCGGGATGTGGGGTTGGCATGGTAACATGCCGTTATGTCACATTTCTAGCCCACAAATAAAACAAAAACAACAAAAAAAAAAAAAAAACAACAAAAAAAAACACACACACACACAAATAGCGAATCCAACTTTTGACGTGTGACAGCGGTTGGCGTTGCATTTTGGCCGCAATTGTCAGGTGCCGCGATATTCGAGGACCTGTCAATCCGATTTCAGATATTTGAACGCATAATGCCACAGACAAGGGGGGCCATAACTCTGATGCATTTCTGCTTCCTCTATGAATGCAACAGCTTTAACAAAAAGAGCTGAAATTCCAGTTGGGAGTTTATATGGGAAAAAAATGCAGTTTAATTGAGTGAATTCTTGTGCTTGGAGTGAGATTCTAGAGATTCTATAATGATCCTAAAAGCCAACATAACCTCACAAAAACTGAAAGAAAACTTAAAGTGCAACGCTGCGTATGCTCAATATATAAGCAAACGCTGCTCAATACAGTTAGCGTTGCCTGGAAAGCCAATAGTTATGAACACTTAACTGGAAAAGCGCACAAAGAACTTTTAGCGCCTTAGAAACGCTGAACAAGAAACGCAAACTCATAAAGATGCGTAATGGCTGGCTGCGCACAAATATCGGAAAATAATTATAGACAGGCGTAAAAGATGAAAAAGCAGTGCGTAAATACGCTGGAATGATCGGAATGGAAACAAGAATTGCAGTTGCCACCAAATATTTAACATAAATCGCAAATCAAGTTAAATTTCCTTACGCGAAAAAATATTACTTGGCAAATTATCACGTGCTGGCTAACCCGTGCCCATTCCACTGTTCCGGTGCGGTCGCAGCGCAGCGCATTCAACAATTGGGCTGCTGCCGCAGCGCACAGTAGCTGGGAGGGAGAACTGCGTCTGGAGAGTCTGGATAAACGGCTTGATTTTGTATTCAGTGTAAAAACAGCAATAAAAGGAATTATGAGCTGGCCACACGCAACTCTTCAAATTTGTGTTTTAGTGCAGCGCAGCAGCAGCGTTTGTTTCCTCTGCTTTGCGCGCTGCGTCGCTTCATTTTCAATTTCAATAAATAACCTTGATTTAAGCGACGACGACGTCGACTGCAGCAGAGACGCCAACGCAACACCCACCCCCACAGTCGTTTGACCAGCTGCAATACAAATACGAATGCAAAGAGCGCGCGAGCGAGAGCCGGAGCGAGTGAGAGGGAGAGCGAGAATGAATGAAAGAGAGAGAGAGAGAGAAGGAGAGAGAGCGCGCCACGGCAGGACAGACCGGCCCCCACACACAAACACCTGTCACACTGCACATTGTCGCACTGCACAGTGCTGCTGGCTCTCCTACTCTCTCACGCTCTTCGTGGGGCTCTCTCAGCTTGCGCTCTCTCACGGCCATTGCAGTTGCTGTTCCGCCAGCCATTCGTTTCAATTTCAATTCAAGCGTTTCACTCCAAGCTTTCTCCTCATTCCAAGCCAAAGTAGTTAAGCGATGGCTATAAATCAAAACAAAACTGCAGCCGCTGCCAGCTGGCGACGACGCCGCATGCGCAGACCGCACTCAGTCAATAGCAGTAGCAGCAGCAGCCAGCAGCAGCCAGCAGCAGCGAGCAGCAGCAGAGGCAGTCGTCAGCGGCGGCAGCAGTAACATCGCTCTCTGAGCACGTTACGCTCTCTTTCTGTCTGCTGCCGGCATATATCAATTTAATGGGGAAAACGTCGTCGGCTCTCTCTCGCTTGTGCTTGTGCACGCCACAATTCATTTTGATAGCCTTCGCGCGCGTGTTTCTTTCGCTCTCGCTGCGACGTCGTCAGTGCTGCTGCGGCGCTGCTATTGCCGTTGCTGTCAGCTCTCAACGTTGTCAGTGTCAAAAAGATGTTTTAGTCGACAACGGCAGCGCTGAACGAAATCATGTCGCATATTTTCATTGTTGAATTTTTCGCTAGAAATTCAACAGTGACAACCGCAGCAGCAGCAGCAACAGCAGCAGAAGCATTAGCTATAGCAGCAGCGCAGTAAGCGCAGTAACGTTAATGTCAAATGCAGCGGCGTCGCTGCCGACAGCGGTTACAAATACAATTGCAGTGCGTGCGCGTGTCAATCAGTCGACGTTAATAAGTCGCCTCTTCCGGTTAACGGTAAACCTCACAGCCGTTAAACAGTTAAACCGATTCACAATTTTGTGCGAGTCGCGCGCGTTTTTCTAGTCGCCCAAATAAAAATTAAAATAAAAACAAAAATACGCCGCAGCAGCGGAAGAGTAAGCAGCAACAGCAACAGCAACAACAACAACACCAAGAACATCAGCAGCGGCAAAGAATAATAATAAATTCTGTGGCAAGCGTCAGTAAATCATTAAATTAATAGCCCCCCACACACGCTCACGCACACGCACACACATACGCAACGGCACAGCTGTTGAGCGTATTGGTGTGTGTGCTGTTGGCATTTGCCAGCAGAAGGAAGCAGAAGTAGTGGCTGAGGAAGAGGAAGAGAGAAAGCGCTGCCTTCTGCCAGTGCCTTGGAAATTGGCGGCAGTTGACCGCAGCGACGAAGGCGACGTCGCATGCATCACACACACACAAACTTACGCACACACACTCGCACGCATTGAGTAAGCGAGAGTTCGTCATCATCAGGCAAAAAGGAGGCGGGGAGGCGCCGCGTTCCGTCCCGTTGGCCCATTGTGACATTTGATTTATTTGACGTGTGTGTTTTTGATAGAAGCTCAACACGAAACTGACACGTTCATACACACACACACACACACACACACACATGCACACGCATAGTCGGGCGCGTACACAGGCAAACATACATACATACATACGTATTAAGAGCAGCAGACGCAGCGTCGACGGCGCCGCTCTCAAGAATTTCGAACGTGAAACGAAAATAAAATGAAATACATTTAATTTCTGTGTCTGTGCTTGTATTTGTATTCGAACTCGTGTATTTGGTTTAGTTAAGTGCGTTCGCGTTCGCCTCACACTGTGCCCAACAACAACAACAACAACAGCAGCAACAACAATTCGCCAATCGATGTGCGAAATTAATAACGGTATTTAGCAGCAGAGACAAGCCAAATATACGAAAGAAAAGCAACAACAAAAAACTATTGACAAAATGATGCTACACGAGGCTGTAATGCTGGAGATCTATCGCCAGGCGCTGAGTGCAAGGTGAATATTGTACATATTTTGAAACCGTTATGCAGTGCTGGAAAGTGCTAGAAATAGAATTAAAGTTTTGAATTTTTAAGTGAATTTTCTAGAGGTGAAGGAAAGAGTTATACAGCGAGATATTTGATGAGATTTATAAGAGACATGTCGAAAACAGATTATAAGCTATTTAATTTGTTTGTGTAAAAATAGTTTGGAATATTAAATATAAATTCTCATTATTAATACATTTTTTTTTCTTTAGCTTCTCTATATTTTTACAAGTTTCTTTATTGTATAGTGCTCTATATGTATAGTTGGCTTATAAATATTATCTTACATATTCCATAATTCTGAAAATATGAAATTTGGAATGAACATATACATATGTGTGTATATGTGTATGTATAAAAATATTCATATATTGGCATTTCTATACATACATATGTACATATATACTTGACACATTTTTCTTATCAGTTCCTTAAGGAATTTTCCTTATCTATGTTTCCGGCAAGTTCATAAAAGCTTTGACAAAATATGTCGAGTGTAAAATGAATTTCAAAAATTTAAACGAAATGGAGTAGCATATATGTATATAAGTAATAAATTAATTTATTTATATACACATGTGTATATATTTTCTTTATCTGAATTTATTATATAGTATATATGTAGTTATAGTTGTTATTCTAAAATTCTTATTCTAATATTTATATAATTTAATACAATATTTATATATTTAAAAATATGTGTTTATTTTTAGTTATAAATTTTAAAAAATATATCCCATAATTATCTAAAATATTTTTATTATTATTATTTGTGATTATTATTGCTACTTTAGATATTTTTGCTAAATATTAATATTTACTTTCTCCATTACAAATCATTATAAAATTATTTGTAATCAAATTTATGAGAATCTAAATCTACCCTTAACTATTTTAACGAAACGAAAAATCAAAGACATTTACTTATTTTCAGTCTTTGATGTTGCGATTCAAAAAATTAGCCTATTCATTAATAATATATATATATATATATATATATATATATATATATATATTTTTTTTTTTTTTTTTTTTTTTAATTATATCATTATTCATTATCATTATTTTATATATTACTAAACAGATTTTCTTTATAAATTGCAATATAAAAAAAAAAATTTAAATTGAAATTTAAATATAAGTTGCATATACTTATTATATATAATATACTATATTAAATATTATAATATACTTTATTATACTTATTATTATTATTAAATTGAAAAAAAATAAAAATAAAAAAATTTCATTAAACTTTTTTAAGTAGCTAAAATCTAGATAAATATTTCAAATATTGCTGAATTGCCGAATATATGTATGTATAATATAATACTTATATACTTACATACATATATATATATATATATATATATATATATATATATATATATATATATATATATATATATATATATATATATATATATATATATATATATATATATATATATATATACATATATATGCATAACTACTATAATCTTAAGAGCATTATTCATATTCATTTTCAATAATTATTTCCATCTGAAACTGAACTCTAGTTAGACATTCGAAATTTAGTTTTCGCGTTGCTCTATATGAGTGCTCACTGTAACTATCTCATTGTCTCTCTCCATTGCCCAATCTAAATTATCGAAATCTTGCAGTGAGCTGGCGAGTCCGCGTTGTCAGTCGCGGGAATCGAACGCCTCCGCCGCAGCCGGTGACGCCCGCTGTCCGTCGAACGAGTCGCACTGCTCGGCCAACGACTGCTTGACGCCGGCGCCGACGCCCACGCCCACAGCCGCCTCGCCGGTGGGCCTGCCGCTGGCCGCGACGCTGGCGCCCTCGGCAGCTGCTGCGCTGCTGCCGCCGCAGTCGGCTGCGATGGCTGCGTACCTGGCGGCGGCGCAACAGAATCACCTGCTGCTGACCAATCCACTGGCAGCGGCCGCTTCGCTGGTGCAGCAGGCCACGCAGCAGGCGTCCTCGCCGCAGGATCACAGGCAGGAGGAGGAGGCGCCCGCTCTAGACTTCAGCCGGAAGCGCACGCCCAGCGACAGCGAAGCCGCCGCCAGCGATGAGGAGCCGGAGGCGGAGCAGGAGCAGGCGGAGCAGGATCAGGAATCGGCGCCTCTGGATCTCTCGGTAAGCACGCGCAAACGCCCGACGCCCGGACTGGAGCAGGAGTCGCCTGCGCGCAAGCTGCCACGCAGCACAGACTACAAATCTCCCTTGCCCCCGGGCAGCTGGGTGCCGCCCATAAATCCCTACCTGGCTGCTGTGGCGGCCAAGTCGGGGCTGGGCGGCAAGATGGCGCCCAGCGAGGCGAGCAAGGCGCTGGAGAAGATGAGCGAGATGAGCCGCCTGGAGACGCCGCCGCCCAGCAGCAGGACAGCAGCAGTAGCAGGTCCGGCAGGAGGCGGGGCAGGAGCAGGAGCAGGCGCAAGTGCAGGAAGTGGAGGAGGAGGACGCCACAGCGCCTGGCAATCGCACTGGCTAAACAAAGGCGCCGATGCGGCCAAGGATGTCTTCAAGTGCGTCTGGTGCAAGCAGAGCTTCGCCACGCTGGCGCTGCTCACCACCCACATGAAGGAGACGCAGCACTGCGGTGTCCAGGTGCCGTCGCCCTCGGCGCTCGGCGGGCAGGGGACGGCGACGCGCTCGGCCAATGCGACGTCCACGAGCAACTCGAACTGCTCGAGCAGCAGCAGCTCCAACTCGTCCAGCTCGTCCAAGTCGGAGCTGAACATGCTCATCAAGGAGACGATGCCGCTGCCCCGGAAGCTGGTGCGCGGCCAGGACGTCTGGCTGGGCAAGGGCGCCGAGCAGACGCGCCAGATACTCAAGTGCATGTGGTGCGGGCAGAGCTTCCGCTCGCTGGCCGAGATGACCAGCCACATGCAGGAGACGCAGCACTACACCAACATCATATCCCAGGAGCAGATCATCTCGTGGAAGTCCGGCGACGAGCGGCCCTCCAATGGCGGCCAGGGCGGCGCCTCGGCCTCTGCGTCCGCCTCCAGCAGTGCCACGCCCACGGCGCCCAGTGTCAGCGCCGTGCTGACGTGCAAGGTGTGCGACCAGGCGTTCGCCACGCTCAAGGAGCTGAGCACGCACATGGCCCAGCTGTCGCACTACAAGGACGCGGGCTCCAGCTGCTCCTCGTCGGTGTCGCCGCCAGCGCCGCCCAGCGCCTCGGCCGGCGCAGCGGGACTCGGGGCGAAGCGCGGCCGGCAGACGCGCAACGAGAAGCGCAAGAAGTCGCTGCCCGTGCGCAAGCTGCTCGAGCTGGAGCGCTCCGGCAGCGGCTCCGGCCTGGACTCGGCCCTGAAGCCGCTGCGCGACTTCGCCGCCGCCACGAAGATCACGTGCGAGAAGTGCGGCAGCAAGATCGAGACGGCTCTGTTCGTGGAGCACATCCGCAAGTGCCTCGGCGACAGCATTCCCATCCCGCCCAGGCGCGCGCCCACCCAGGATCAGCAGCAGCAGCAGCGTCTCTCCAGCCCCAGCATGTCGCTGCACGCGGAGAAGCCGGGCAGCAGCAGCAGCTCCGGAGCGCCCTCCGTGCTGAACGCCCTGGAGCAGCTCATCGAGAAGAGCTTCGAGTCGCGCGTGGGCCGCCTGGCGCCCGGCTACCCGGAGTCCGGCACGCCCCTGGGCGCCAGCATCCTGAAGCGCCTGGGCATCGACGACAGCAGCGACTACACGAAGCCCCTGATGGATGCGCAGGCCATGCAGATGCAGCTGCTGAGGTCCTCCTACCCGGCCCGGGACCGCAGCGCCAGCGAGTCGAGCTCGGCCAGCCGCGTCGAGTCCGCCTACACGCCGGACCGACAGCAGGCCACGCCCCGCCGCACGCCCGACACGCCAGCATCGACGGCCATGGCGACGCCCTCGCTGCCCCCGCCGGCGGCGTCCAGCTGCAGCAGCTCCAGCACCACCACCATCATCAAGTCGGAGCCCCTCGAGCCGGAGTCCGGTGCCGGTGCCGCTGAGGTTGAGCCTAGCAGCCGGCACCTGATCAACGTGAAGAAGGAATTCAGCATGGATCATGCCACTGGAAATCCTCGGGAGAGTCCAGGCGCGAGCAGCGAGCGCTCCAACACCACGCCTCCTGCTGCGCCCGGCCAGAGCTCCGCCATGTCGGAGAGCGGCAGCCTGTTGGCCCTCAACTCCATGTTCGATCAGCTGAGCAGCGTCGAGGCGAACAACAACAACACAGGTGAGTGGGTCAGGAATCGGGGTGCGCTTCTTAGGGGGAAGGGAAGGTAATCCTTAAGAATTTCCAATAACATCTTGAAATGGAAAAATTCAATTTCTGATTAAAGCGAATGCAGATATATCTCCTATATATAGCTCCTTAAAATAATAATAATTTCACATATTTAAGGTTACCCACATATCGGAATATAAATACTCCGATTTATTTCGGAGTTTGATATCAAATTAAAACTAGTTCAAAGTAAAGCTAAATACTTCGATCCATTTCAATTTATTCCCATAAATTTCATCCATTTTCTACTTTAAAAGCCAATCTCATGTTTTCTTATTGGTTTCCAATTAGATGATTTGGAATATGACAAATTTCTATGGGCTCTCTCAATTTAAAACAATTCATCTTTTTCCATTTATTTACTTATATTTTCCCTCATTTTTCAGGACATTGCTTCAACAACAACAACAACAACAACAACAACAATAGCAACAACAACATCAACAATAACAACGGCAAAAAGCCAAAGGCTCATCCCTTGGCCGCGCTGCAGAAGCTGTGCGAGACAACGGATCCGCCGGCCTCCAATACGCGCAGCTCCTCCACGTCCGGCTCCGCTACGGGGGCGGGGCTGGGCAACGGCAGCGACTTGGTCGCCTTCAGCTGGGCCTGCAACGAGGCGGTGCTCAGTGCGGGCGCCGGAGTGGACTCGATCATCAAGTGCTCGTTCTGTGATACGCCGTTCGGGTCGAAGGGCGCCTATCGGCATCACCTGTCCAAGGTGCACTTCGTGAGGGACGCGGGCGAGGAGACGCCGCCGCTGAAGTCGCCCGCAGCTGCGCAGTCGCCGAAGTCGCTGCCTCTGGCATCGCCCAAGCGTTCGGCGTCGCGCAGTCCGGCAACGCCGGCCCAGCAGCTGCCGCAGTCGTCGCCGTCGCCCTACGACGAGAGTCCGCAGTCCAAGTTCCTCAAGTACACGGAGCTGGCCAAGCAGCTGTCCTCGAAGAACGCCTAAGGAGCTTCTCACTCTGCCACACAATTCAATATAAATATCAATTCAGCTTAGCAGTTGTGTTGCGTGGTGTAAGAAGCGCTGAAAGTGCTTTCGATGAGCGGTGCATTGATTTCTGATTTCTGATCAAAGAGAGCGCAGTCTGGCTGCAGACGTGCTCTCTCTGTGTCTCTCTCGCTCTCCCTCTGTCGCTGCCTCGTTCGCTCTCTGCAGCCACATTTCCCCTACTTTGCTGAATTGGCGGTAAACATTTCCCCAAGTTGTCTTTGCCCCATGCTAGCTGTCTGGGGTAGTCTGCATGTGTGTGCTTGTGTGCGTGACGTCACAGCGCTGACGTCTCTGTGCTTCGTTTTTATCGTTTGCCAATTCGCACAGCATGCCATCGCATTCACACGCGCGAGAGGCGTCTGAAATTCAATTACCACCACTTTGACGAACTGCTGTCCATCAAAGAGCACTCACACACACACTCACACAGGCGCGCACACACAAGCAGAAACAGAGACACACAGATTAACAGTGCAGTGCAATTGCAGGCGTGCTAAAGAGTGAGACGGCTGTAGTGTGCGCAGCTGTTTGACGAAAGGCGACGACAACAGTTCGTCAAAATGAAAACGAAAAACAAACACACACAAAAACAAAATACAAAGCAAAAACAAGCTGACCCATGCGATTGGATGATGCCGCACAGCACTAAAACAACAATAGCAACACTCAAATGGGTGGGGGTACAATTGAGTGCAAACGAAACAGGTCCGAGCGCAAAATTGAGCGCAGACAGACAGGGAGAGAGCGAGACAGTGAGTGGGCGAGCGAGATTTATTGAGTGAATTATAAGATTTTGGCTCAATGAAAACGCAAAGAAACAAAAATTCCTCTGCAAAAAGCGTGCCAAATAAAAAAAAAAAAAAAAAAAAAAAAAAAAAAAATTGTGGAAAACAACAGAAAATTAAAAAAAAAAAAAAAAATAAATAATAATAAAATTAAGTAAATACAAAAATGAAACGCAGTATACGTAAAAAAAAAAACAAAACAAAACAATTTTGAAAAACCAAAAAATGTATTTAAAAAAATAAGATTATATTAAAAAACTCAATTTTTAAACATAATTGTGTTCCTTTGCAAACGAAAATCGATGTATACCAAGCCAAGAGGCAATAATTATGTAGGTTTATGTAAATATTAGCAATTTAGCGATTTCCTTCCAGATAAATTAGATATCTAGAGATATACATAGATATATTAATATAATAAATATATATATGAAATATGTTTAATTAACAACAATTAAAGTCAAATCAAAATGTAATCACAGCAACCCATGTATACGCATAAATTATACAAATCAATATATAACTATTTAAAATTATATACACATATAAATACAACTAAATATATATATATGAAAGTTTACAAACTTCAAATCTCAACTATATATATTTAACCTAAGTTAAGGCCTAAGACTTCCAAAAAACTAAATCTAATACTTAAAAACAAATGTCAAAAAATGTTAAACATTTCATCAGCCATCAAAATGTAGAAGAAGAAGAAGCACATCATCAGCAATTATTTAATTTATAAATATTATATATACAGATCCAATATATATATATATATATATATATATATATATATGACTTATCTTTGAGTTTTTGTGATATTATTTTTAGAACTTGATCAAGAAAATCACCTTTTGCTTCCCTTTTCGCCTAGCTCCTAAGTAAGTTAAACAAAATGCAATAAAATGAAAAAAGAACTAAGAACAAAAACGCAAATCCCAATCAGAGTCTAGTGTTTTGTCCAATTAGACACACATTTCTCAATTTCCAAATTGAAGTCTTTTGATTAAGAGTGAAAGAGAGAGGGAGAGAAAGAAACAGAGCGAGAGCGAACAGCTTGATACACAAAATGAATTCAATAAACAGAAACGAAAAATAAAGACAAAATAAAAAGTAAAAATATGTTTGAAATCGAAAAAAAAAAAATCATAAACTCAATTTTATTTTAGATTTTAATGGGATTTACAAATATATCAAGGTATTATTTATGAAAATATATTATAAACTTGATTTATTATTATTCTGAATATTATTGATTCGAATTGGTAGCAAATCAAATAATAGTTTGAGCAACAGTTTCATATGGAATAAAACGGAATTGAAATGATCTATGAAACAGCCGAAATGGAAGAGCGGAACATTCGGTATAAACTTTTTTACATTTAGAGAGTAGGGGACAGTTTTTGATGTATTCCAGCTTGGATACGGGATGCAACAAATGGAATGGAATCTTGAAATGCATGTGCTCTTGAGAAGCATCCAGTGTGGAACAGGTGGAATTGCATATTCGATATGCTATGAATGAATGAATGCTGAATCAACTGAAATTGACTCTCTGACAGCAGAAAGTTGTTCCATTCCATACGTTCCATTCGTAAAGATATCAACTGAATCGAGTAATTCTTTTAATTATCAGAAATAACCGAGCAATAGTTAATTTATTTATTATATATTTATTTCAATATAGTATATAATTAATTAGCCGAAATAATTAAATTTATTTATAAAATTTTTCCAATAAGTCCGTTATACAGGATTAAATAGTCTATCTCTCGCATATGCCCCAATAGCCAGTTATCGATGCCAAATGGGATAATTCACTGCCAAAGTACTTGAGCCCCATGTTCCTCCAGTCCAGTGCCAAGGGAGTGGGGCGGGCCGTCGACTTCCCCCTGACCAAATCCCAGTTAATTGTGGATCTCAGAACATGGCATATCAAATTGTAAACTAATATTTGCTAATAAACACGCCGAGTTAATTAAACCTGAATTATGTGGCACATGGTTGTGTAACTAAGGTGGTCGAAGGGTGCTGTGCGGGAAGTGAGGGGGGTCAAGGGAGGCGCTGGTTGTGACCGCGGCAGGGGCCGGGGCAGAGATGCGTGGCAGGAACAGGAACATGCGCAAAATGTGAACGCGATTCGCTGATTTATGGCCAACAAAGGATTAAGATGCGACACCAACAACAACAACAACAACAGCAACAAGCGCTGATACGAACTTCATAGATGCCACACACACTACTTGACAGAGCGCGTGTGTCTCTCTCCCTCTCTCTCTCTCTCTTTCTCTTATCTATTGCCACGCTGATGACGATCCAAAATGCCAACGAAATCTCCTACGAAAACTTCAATTGCCAAAGGATTCATTTTCACTTAAAATTTATGATGTGTTTCACACACACACACACACACACACACATCTCGCCTGAGGCTTGGGTTTGAGGGGCGGAGGCGTGGCATTTGGTGTCACATTTGTGTTAAGAGATAATTTTTGGGCCAAAATGTTTCAGAAAACTTTTTGCTGCCTCTGTCGCAGTGTTGCGTTGTTTCAGCCACATTGATGGCTCAGCCAACCACCCACCCACTCAACCCACCACGCCCACTTCCACCTTCAACCCTAGCCTACCTGGCCTGCCATATAGCTACGTCCCATTTAATGAGATACAAACACATAAATTCTAAAAAGTGTCATGCATCGCAAATAACGGTTCACTGTTCGTTGTACGCCGTGTGCTCTTCTTCTTCTTGCTGTCTTGATAAGCTCGCTGCGCGTGTGTGCGTGTAAGTGTGTGTGACAAAAGACGCTCGAGGCGTTGAAAGCAAAATATCAAAATTTTGTCTAGAAGAAATGAAAGCAAAATGCATTTGCGGCTCTCTTTGTGCGTAGAATCCATGTGAAAAAAATGAAAACAGTGCTATGCATAATTATAGGTGCACTTAATTAACTACTACTTTAACGAAAAGTTCTATTAGATTGGTATATAACTACATAAAGGATGACTTTAGCTAATCAGGTAATATTTATAAAAATTAATAACTTAATTCCAGAGCTTGAAAATAATTGTTAACCGTCTAATTCTTTACGTTCTTTACGTTCTCTGTTCGCGAACGCAACGTAAAAATTAAGTTCATTTACTATTAATCTATTAATTTTTATGAATCTCAACTGATTTATTGGGAATTCAATAGAACATCTTGATAATATAATGGAAATACTTTTTAAATTAAAAAATATATATATCAAACCGAACTAAATTAAAGATTTTCACACATTTCGTAGTAGGAAATTAATATAAATCATATTAATAAAAAACCTTGTATGTTCAGTTCTATAAAGCTAAATGGAGTTTTTTTTTGTTTTTAATATTAAAAAACTTTAGTATCTGACTGTAAAATGTAAGGAATATAGATATGATATCTCAATAAAACTTTTATTACACATATACAGATTTTGATTAGAAATGCGGTTTAACATCTGGAATTTTAAATACATATAAGTATGCCAAAGTATGGAATATCAAATGTGATCTTTCCAATTATGTTCACATTGCCTTTGGGTTAATATGCTGAGAATACCTAATATCTCTTTAATACGGCCGATTTCATAAAGTAAAGCAACTATAAATCTTAGACTGTATGTAGGTCTATCACATTTCAAATAATTTCTATACATTATAATAGTTAAATCTCAAGTTTGACAATGTCTTATATTGCATATTCCGTGACATTCTTATAAGAAAACACTACAAATCTGATTAGACTAATTAGTAAAGTGAATGCCTTAAGTTGTAGACGTGAATATGCAGCTCTCTATAAGAGCAGCCAGCTGAAATCGTTAAGATATGTTGTTAAACTGAGAGAGAGATAAAGAGAGAGAGAGAGAGAGAGAGAAGGGAGACAGAGACTGGTTATTAGATGGAGAGAGAAAAAAATGAATTGCTTGAGATAAATGTACATAAGTATATTTTAGTAATTCGTAGCAAAAAACATACGCAGACAGCTGAAAGCAACGCCTTCCATTAGCCACCACCAGAGAGGACTAATGAGACTAACATACAGACGGGAGGGCGGTCTGAGGCGGGAGGCGTGGCAGTGGGAGAAGCGCCTGCAGTGCGAACAGCAAAACTTTTGCAAAGTGTCAGAAAATGTGAATGCGATTGTAGGACGACCAGCAGGAGGAGGGGGCTGAAGGATACAGGCTCTCTCTTTCTCTGTGTTAGTGTGTGTGTGTGTGTGTGGATCCGGTGTGGGTAATGTGCCGAGGTAAACGCCAGCAACGAGATGGATGATATCTAGACGAATGATGCATGAGTCGCACAGGGGGCGGCTGAGGCGCCATTGCTAGTTGCTCGTGTTGTCATGTGTTGCCAGTTGCCATGTGGCACGGTGGCACGGTGGCACGGTGGCTCGGTGGCTCGGTGGCATGCTGGCGTGTGGGTGGCTACGTAAATTCCGACGCTTCATTCGCCGGATAGACTCGGCGCAAGGAGGAAGACATGGCTGCCATTGCCATCCGATGGGCCAGGCCAGAGGACGCAGGCGTGTAAGCAGGAGCAGAAGCAGCAGGAGCAGCAGCAGCAGCGAATGAGCATGCGAAATGCACACACACACACACACACACCCACACATGGAGAGAGCGAGCGAACAGCATATCCAACTCGAATCTTGTCTACAATAAATCAAATTTTATTACACTTTTCTTTATGCATGCCACAGGATATGGCAAGCGTATGGCGCACTGATGAGCACACACCCACACACACACAGCACACTGAACGTCCTCACACACACACTGAGATTTTCACATGCTCATTTAGTGCCACGAAAAGGGGTGAGCAGGGGCCGGCTGAGTGAGTAAAAGTTTTGTACATACAAACAGCAATAGGACAATCCGATCCAGTGCCAAGCGCTTGATTATGGGTATTTTATAATATGAAGCTCGTGATCTTAAAACAAATAGAGTTTCCTTTGTTTAATAAAATATTAATATTTTTAAATATGTTTAATATAAAAGTATATATAAAAACAAAATACATCCAACAATTGGGTATTGACT